GAAGAGGGTAGGTTGGTTTAATTTAAGATTTTCTTATTAAAAAACAGAATTTGAAAGTAAAGTGATGTGTCAGAGGTGCAGTTTCATTCATTACTTTGTTAAAAGGTAACTGAGCTGTTTTAAACTGCTGTACAATGTAAACTGGCAAAGAAGTTACAGGAATACTGATGGTTTGACATTTGTAAATTATTATTATAATTGTCATTATTATTATGCTAGATAATCTTCATAATGTTTATGAAGTAAAAAGCATCCGTCATTGAATTTTTATTTCGTTTATAATTTATTCAAGATGCATGCTCCTATTTCTTTAAGTTCCCTCACGTTTCATCTCATGCACTGCAGCAAGAAATTGCGGTGCAGTGATAATTTTACTACTTTATTTGTCGGCTTCAAAGGCATAAAGTTGTTCCTTTTATTGTCTCTGATTTGCATTTAGGAGGTTTCAGACCTTATCTTGAGAAACAAGTTCTCTGCTAAGATGTTGCGTTTGGATTTTATTGTTGAGGAGATTGTGAGAATTAAGCTTCTTGTAAGAATGTCTTTCTCAAAGCAATTTTGAGACATTGCATATATTTAAATGCTATAAACTCATCTGAGGTTTCTGGCTTTTCTTCTCGGTGCAAGTCTGAGTGTTAATATGTTCATGCATTCAAGAGTTTGTGTGTGTGTGTGTGAGTCACCGTAGAGTGGTGTGCTCCCTCCACAGGGATGCCATTCTTGGTCCACTGGATGTGAGCTGCAGGCTTGGCCCCGCGGGTTACGCAGGTCAGGTTGAATGCAGTTCCAGCCATCAGCAGCAGCTCCGGCGTTCCCTCCACCACCGGATCCTCAGGGGGGACTGCAGGACAGACACACAAATCCATACTCTTGACTTTAACGCAAGGGCACTCAGGTTTAAAGAACAGCCACATCTGTACACACACACACACACACACACACACACACTCCAGTTTTTCCCCATAGGTCAAGGGAATATTGGCTCTTATAAGTTTCTTTCAAAAGAAGTTCACACTTTAGAAGTGGAATTTTTCTCACCAATCAAAAGCAAAGTGCAATGTCACCTTCTGGAAAGTCCAAAAGGGCTCTCAAGCGTTTTCCTCAGGAGAGTCTAACTTTCTGACTTTTAACCTTCTCGCTGATTTAATATCTCAACATATTCTGGGAGCACTGAGCTTGAACTGCACACATATTTTGGCCCTTTTAGTGAAACTCAAGACTGTTATGACTCAAAGTATCATTGATAATGACATAAGAGAAGGTGCTCATCTTAAAGTTGATATTCTCTGTTGATAAAAAGACTCTACTTTCACTCTATAATAAACTTGCAAGGATACAAAATGTAGCTGGACAGAATGAAGCAAGAAAATATGCATTATGTGAAAAAACATAATGATCCGACTTTCAGGTTTGCCACACAGTAGTCTGTTTTTTATTTATTTATTTTAATGCATATTTTTCCCTTTCAACATCTCTCTTTTCCTGTTGGAGCTGATGCCAATAGAATGACTGGAGTTTTTATGCGAAACCAGTAAAAAAAATTTTAAAAAAAGTGTAATTTATGAAAAAGTGTAATTTATGAACACTCCTTAGACGTTTCTGATGACTGTGCGGTGAAATAACCCTCTGGGTAAAAGTTTGAGGGCAGGACGTTGTCTTTTATCAAGACATGGGCTGCAGTGACTCATTAATTACACAATACATTCCAGTGATTCACAGCTTGACTTGGCCTCTTACTAAAAGACTTCAGCTTTTCCCAAGACCATAATGTCTCAGAAGTGCTTTTTTCCTTCTATCTTATTATTTTTTTTTTTTTATTTGACCTGTATTTATTCAGGTTGTCTCATTGAGATCTCATCTATAACACACATTTTGTAATAAAGCAAACAAATTATAAACACAGCAACAAAACAAGTAATTGAGATCTGGATCAGTTAAATAAGCTAATAGTTCATTATATATTGAGATGTTATACTTTTTCTCTACTACTACTTTTTCTCCATCAATTAGTGGAAGAATGAAAACTTTGACATGTGGACCTGTGCTGAACATGTTTAGGCTATTTATGGCTGTGCACATCTGCAGTGGCCTCTCTTGCTTCAGGGAAATCTGTTTATTTTTGGATCTATGTGCAGAGGTCTCTGATGGAGATAAGAATAATCTTTGGTGATGTAAGGAAGACGTTAGATGGTTGGTTGTTTAGGAGGCTGACCAACTGAGGAAGCAGGGAATGTGGTGTGTCCGGTGTCAGAGCCTGGGAAGCTGACAAATAAAAGCTGTCCTCCAACTTCATGAACTTAGAACTTGAAATGTAATAATTAATGATTAGGCTGGACCTCCCTCTCCTACAAGAAGAGCTGTCTATGAACAAATACTATTCACATTAAGAAGACTCTAGATCTGTGCAGTTTAATGTCTTTGTAAGTGAAATGGTCCTAAGCTACTTGCTTTAAAACAGCCATGGTCAACTGTGACCCTCTTTTGTTTGACGCTTAGAGAAGACCCCAAAGCTTCGTCACGTAAGCTAACCCAAATATAGAGCATCTCAAAGTTCTATAGAAGGAAAAGGATGATTGAAACAGGTTGGAAAACAATGATATAAAAAGAAAAAAACAGAGCAACTTGACCGTTGCTCTTACAGAAGCAGCTCACTTACTAAGTACGTTGAGCTTGGCTCTCCTGGAGCGCAGGGCGGCCTCCGTGGCCTGACACTCGTACAGGGAGTCATCTGACAGCTCAGCGTGTGAGATCTCCAAATTGAACTGGCCGGTGTCCAGCGCCCGCAGCACGCGATACCTGGGCCAGGCTGCAAGAGGCGCACAGCAACGATGCAATCAAGAAACAGAAATATCACAAATATTTTCCTCTCTGATGTTTTAGTTCACCCAAAATTTGCTCTGAAATCAGCCATTTGAATCAGCCTAACAGGTGTTAAGGAAGAATTTCTAAAATAGTTAACTTTGGAAAAAGTTTGGCTCTCTCTCT